CAGTATGTTGAAAAGTAGTACCGGGTGTTTGGAAAATTTCCAAAATTATGTAAACTTTGAAAATTTAAAAAGCATCCGATTTTTAAAACTTTTAAAGCAGAAAAAAAAATAAAAATGTCCACCGTTTGAGGGCATACAAATTACCGTTCAGTATTTTGAATATTTTCGTGGACGGCCTATATTTTACCTATTTCAATTTTCATTACATACACTAATTATATTGTGATGCTATGGTATTAAAAACGAAATTCATAAAGATATGCACTATAAAAAGAGCGGTGTGTTATTGCCTAAATATTTAAAAATATACAACGTAGATATTAATAAAAAAACAATAATAAAAAATAGTATACAAATTGTACAAACCACATTGAATTTCGAAAATATTCTACAGGGTGATTTAAAAAAATCGAACATTTTTTTTTACTTCCGACTCTGAAAAATTCACCTCTAGAAATTGCCCACCAAATTTGACCTCTTAATATTAATAGGAAGATCCATTTTTTCTTTAGTCCCATATTTTATTATTAATCAATCGTTTTATCAAATCTTTAAACATATTTTTGTAGGAAATTGAATGCTCTACAAAAATGGACTGATGTGTTTAAGGGATTACTCTAACCATTTAAAAGATAATTTAGATCTAAGTTTGGAGAATTTATTAAAATTTTTAGGTTTAAAACATTTCCAGAATTTCAAAAATGTACAGATTATTAACAATTTGCAGATTTTCAAAAAATGTCAAATTTTAAATTTACAGATATAGGTATTTATAAAATGTAGATTTTTTTTAGATTTTTAAAAATTTACAGATTTTAAAAAAGTTCTTTTTATTCTTTCCAGATTTGTAATAGTTTAAAGATTTTCAGAATTTTTTAGATTTATTAAATTTCCAGATATATTAATAAAATATACAGATTTTTAAAAATTTCCAGATGTTAAAAAGTTTTTAATTTAGTATTATTTTTTTAATTTCCAGATTTATAAAATGCGGATTTTCAAAAATTTTACAAATTTGCAGATTTATAAAATGTACAGATTTTCAAAAATTTCCAGATGTTAAAAAAGTTTTATTATTTCCAGATTTTTAACAATTTGAAGATTTTCAAATTTTTTGAATTTTTTAAATTTCCAGACATATTTATGTCCAGATTTTTAAAAATTTCCAGATTTTTTTTTTAGATTTATAAAAATTTCCAGATTTTCAAATATTTGAAGATTTATGGATAAGGACATATTTTTAGTTTTTTTTTAATTTTAAGATTTATAAAATGAAGACGTTAAAAAATTTGCGGATTTATAAAATGTACAAATGTTAAAATAGTTTTTTTTTATTATTTCCAGATTTTCAAATTTTTAAAGATTTATGGAAAAGGACATAATTTTAGTTTTTTTTTCAATTTCCAGATTTATAAAATGCAGACGTTAAAAAATTTGCAGATTTATAAAATGTACAAATGAAGAAATGTTAAAAAAGTTTTTTTTATTATTTACAGATTTTTAAGAACAAAAATTTTAGAGTTTTTAAATTTCCAGATATATTTATAAAATGTACAGATTTTTAAAAATTTCCAGATTTAATTTTTTTAGATTCTTAAAAGTTTCCAGATTTTCAAATATTCAAAGTTTTATGGAAAAGAAATTTTTTTTAGTTTTTTTTAATATCCAGATTTATAAAATGCAGATTTTCAAAAATTTGCAGATTTATAAAAAGTACAGATTTTCAAATATATTTAGGTTTAAAACATTTCCAGAATTTCAAAAATGTTCAGATTTTTAAATATTTAGATTTTCAAAAATTTCCAAATGTTTTTTCTCAATATTTTCAGATTTTTAACAATTTGAAGATTTTCTAAAATTTTCATATTTTTTAAATTTCCAGACAAACAAAATGTACAGATTTTTAAAAATTTACAACTTTAATTTTTTGGGATTCGTTTACGAATATCTTCTCAACAGTTAGAGTAATTAATTAAACTCATCAGACAACAATAATTATTTTTCAATAAGTTACAAAATTATTAAACAATTTTTTTTTATAAATTCTTTAAACTTTGATCTTAAATATCTTTTAAATGGTTAGAGTAATGGTTAGAGTAACACATTTGTCCTTTTTTGTATAGCATTCAATTTACTACAAAAATAAGTATTAAGATTTAAAATATGGTCTTATAATAAGGATCTAAAGAAAAAAATGGAAAATTGTGATCTTCCTATTAGTATTAAGGGCTTAAAATTGGGTCCCTAAGAACCAATTTTTCAGAATCGAAAGTAAAAAAAATATTAGATGTTTTTGAATCACCCTACTGTAGATTCGACTAGATTTGAAACATAATCCAACAAATTACGGAGATTCAAATCCAAATTAGCAAATAAATAAGCGACCTAAAACAAAATCTATAAACAATAAATACATAATTATATAAAAATATAATGTACAACTCTTACTTATATATTTATATTTATATTGTAACTACCTAGTTTAAGCATTATTATTTGATTATGGTTCGTCTCATTTTTATTTCCGTTTAAATTAATAAACGATTCAAATACTTTTTGTGTCCTATTTACCAGCAAAATATCAATAAATTATATCCGTTAAAATTCCTCTATCCTACGTATTTTAAAATGTACAATAAAAAAAGTTTTATACGCATAAATATGGCTCGACATGGCAAGTTAACAATAACTCATCATCACTAATGTGCTATATAATAATAGAAATATCTTAATTTAAATATTTAAATTTTGATAGAAAAACATTCATTTATATAATGATAATATTTACCTCTCCTTTTACTTTTTCTTCCTCTGTTAAACTCATGATAATATTAGATATTAAGCATATCACAGTACCGAAAAAATAATTACACCATCAAACCAGTTTTACTGTTTGTTATTGTCGTTAGATTTAAAATTGTCTGCTATCATGCATTTGTTGACTAGAACTCATAAAAAACGAAAATTCCACACGCACTTTTTCTGTCACAATTTAAAGAGTAACTCTACAAATGTGTGTAACATACTAAAAAATGTTGCATAGATAAAAAGTACTTAAAACGGGATAAAACATGTCAACGTAGCAAATTTAAAAAATGTACAATTTTCAAAAATGTACAATTTTTTAAATTTTCAGGTTTTTAAAATTTCCAAATTTTTTAAATTCTCCAGATATGGAAAAATCTTAGAAGATTTGTATAAAATGTACAGATTTTCAAAAATTTCCATATGTTAAAAGTCTTCTTTTTAATATTTCCAGATTTTCAAAAATTTTCAGATTTTTTAATTTTCCAGGTTTATAAAATGTACAGATTTTCAAAAATCTCCAGATGTTAAAAAAGTCTTTTTTTAATATTTCCAGATTTTTAAAATGTATCTACAGATTTTCAAAAATTTCCAGATGTTAAAAAAGTCTTCTTTTTAATATTTCCAGATTTTTTACAACTTGCAGATTTTCAAAAAAAAAAAATTTCCAGGTTTATAAATTGTACAGATTTTTAAAATTTACAGATGTTAAAAAAGTCTTTTTTTAATTTTTCCAGATTTTTTACAATTTGCAGACTTTTAATAATTTTCAGTTTTTTTTAAATTTTCAGGTTTATAAAATGTACAGATTTTCAAAAATATCCTGATTTAATTTTTTTTTTAATTTTAGATTTATAAAAAGTAGATTTTCAGGTTTTTTTAATTTCCAGAAAATTTCCTGATGTAAAAAAGTTTTTTTTTAATATTTCCAGATTTTTAAAAATTTCAGTTTTATGAATTTCCAGATATATAAAATGTAAAGATGTTCAAAAATTTCCAGATGTTAAAAAAGTCTTTTTTTTAATATTTCCAGATTTTTAACAATTTTCAAAAATTTTCAGATTTTTTAATTTTCCAGGTCAATAAAATGTACAGATTTTTAAAATTTCCAGATGTTAAGAAAGTTTTTTTTAATTTTTCCAGATACCTGTATATGAAATGTACAATTTTCATTTAATTTTTTTTTTAGATTTAAAAATGTACAGATTTTTAAATATTTAAAGAATTATGAAGAGAACATATTTTCAGTTTTTTTTTTAATTCCAGATTTATAAATTGCAGATTTTCAAAAATTTGCAGGTTTATAAAAAAATATAGATTTTTAAAATGTACATATTTTAAAAATAGACATTTTTAAGGTTTAAAAAATTTCAATTTTTTTTAAATTTACAGATTTTAAAAATTTGAAGGTTTAACAGATTTTTAAAAAGTACAATTTTAAAAAATTTACAGATTTTAAACGTTTTTAAACATTTCCAAATTTTTAAAAACATTTTAAGATTTCTATATTTTAAAAAATTTCTATAATTTTAAACATATTTTTACAAATTTACAGATTTATTTAAACGTTTAGATTTTTAAACATTTCAAGATTTTTCAAAATTCTTAAAATTCACAAAACTTTGGAAATTTTTAAATAAATACCGACCCAAAAAAATCCCTTTAAAAACCTATTTTATTTTTAGAATTACGTACATTGCTAATGTACTATGTATGTAATATTCATTTTTAAAAGTTACTATAATCTGAAATAATTACTTTTAAATCCTAGTCAGACATTAAGTAAAAGCCTTAAATATTAATTCTAAAATCAGTTTTGAATTTAGAAATAATACATATGTGATATAAACAGTTTAAATTAGGCTTGTTTTATTATGACGTGCAAATTCTTACAACACTATCAATTTTTTTAACTTTTAAAAAGGCATTTAAAAAATATCTTATGTATATATGTATATGACGATTATAAATTACATCATCTAGGAATCATTACCATATAACATCAGCCTACATTCTTTTATAATTATTATTAGTATTAATTACTCCAAATAACATTTAGAAGCGTTGGTAAAAATTTTCATCTACGAATTCTCAATGTACATTAATGTGATCCATTCGATGTTGGTCCTGTTTTGTATTTGCTTTTTTAATTATTTTCGCCTTATTGTAATAATTTTGATATTTTGTTTTACAAGGTTGATTCTCATCATCGTTGGCTGCGCAGGCGACCGCCATTTTTTTTTGCGCACGCAGCCGCCTTCAAATTCTTCTCTTCGAGGTTATTTTTTTGGGCGTCCGGATTTTTGTCCAGCTCGGACATCGCCTCCTGGATCGCAGATTCCAGTTGGCTGTTTAGTTTACGACTTCTGCAAGAAAATGAGCAATTTGAACAAATATTTTTTTGTATTTATTAATAAATTAAATTAAAATCACTTTTTTGTTAAATTTTAAAGGAAAAAGTGTCTGCAGCTTATTTTAGAAATATTAAAAACTATTTTTATATGAATTGTAGTATACAAGGTGTCCCTGAAATGCCTGTGTAAAAAATAATTCCAAATTTGGGTAATTTTCAAATTTCTTGTACATTTGCTGTCCCTCAACTTTAATATTTTATAAAAAGTTGAGTTTAACGCCATTTGGAACTTTATTAAACGAAATCAATTGGTTTAAGTGTTTTTAGCAACTACACTCACGTGCAAAATGAATTTTAATCTCAAATAACTTTTTTATTTGATGTCTGATTTAAACGAATATTAAAGAATATTGTAGATAAATTAATGGACAATCGCTCACATTTAAAAAAAATACTTAAAAATAGACGTACGTTTATAATATACAGCTTTAAACAAAAAGATGTTTTTTACCAAAAGTTTAAGACACTCTGTAGAGTGGCAAAACCGTATATTGTTCTTAATTAAGTTTTATTTAACAAGTCACATCTATTCTTAACAGTTTTGTTTTTGGTTCACCTCGATATATTTATTTTTGTGGAAAATATGGATTTTTTTAAAAAACATTGCAATTTCCAATATTTTTCCTGTATGAAGAACTAAGGTTGCTATGGTCCATCCATGTTATTTAAAACTTGTTTATAAATGATTTGAAATTATTATAGCCTATGGAGAATGACAGTGACAGTTTTGTTGAATCATCCCATACTTGGACATGTCATATACAGCTTTCAAAAGCTATCAAATTGTTTTTTGTAAATTAATGTGTTAATTTTGAGGTGTCTTCTTACTTTTAAAAATGTCTCCGACTGATGTTGCCTTTTGTACTTTACTTTTTATGACGTTTAAAACACTTGCCACGTAATACTGTGACCGTCCATCCTGGATTAAAATAACGGCTCTGGCAACATCAGTCGGAGACATATTCATTTTTTAAAGTAAGAAGACACCTTAAAATTTAAACATTAATTTGCAAAAAACAATTTGATAGCTTTTGAAAGCCGTGTATGACATGTCCAAGTATGGGATGATTCAACAAAACTGTCACTGTCATCCTCCATAGCCTATGGATGACCATAGCAACCTTAGTTCTTCCTACAGAAAAAACATTGGAAATTGCAATGTTTTTTTTAAAAATCCATATTGAGGTGAACCAAAAACAAAACTGTTAAGAATAGATGTGACTTGATAATTAAACGGTTTAGCCTCTCTACAGAGTGTCTTAAACTTATGGTAAAAAAACTTCATTTTGTTTAAACCTGTATTTTATAAACGTAAATCTATTTTTTAGTATTTTTTTAAAATGTGAGCAATTTATCTACAATATTCTTTAATATTCATTTAAATCCGACATTAAAAAAAAGTTATATGCGATTGAAATTCATCGAAAATTTGTGTGGATTATTTTGCCTGTGAGTGTATTTTGAAAAAGTTTATGAACATTTCTTCTATAAACACTTTTTAATTTAATAAAAACCCCATTAAAAAGTCTTTTAATAAAAACTATAAAACATTATTAAAAACTACAAATTTTCCACTTTTAATAATAATTATCTCCAAAAGGTATAAATGTGTATATTGTTGAAATAACAATTTCATAATCTATTCGAATCTCTAATTGGCCGATTGTGTCAGAGATTCTACAAAAATGGAGGAAAATATGAATTAAATGAATGAAATTTTTCTAATACAGGACACCTTGTATATAAAATGTAATATTTAAAAAAAAATCTAAAAAGTTTGACCACCTTTCATGGACCAACCAACCTGAAGAAAAAGGTAAAATCCAAAAAAAATATTAGTTATTTAAATTTATAGACTTAAAAAGGTTTACTGATACGTTACTTACTTTTGGTTCTTATTAGACAAAATTATCTTATCGGAAATATAAGAAATGTAGAAAGGAAAACAAAGTTTGTTAAAAATATTCGAAAACCAAAATTTCATTCCTCAATATAATATTTGAGTTAAAAATAATTGATAAATTACCAAAATAATTTTTTTTTATATAAATACACTGCGCGTCAAAATTAACGCATAATAAGTAAAAAAATTCTTACTCTAAAACGCCTTTGCCAATCTTTATAAAATTTTAGATAAATACTTTTTCTACTCTTACCTTTAAAACACATGTTTCCATGACACTAAGTGACCTTTTAAAAACACATTGACAAGTTGTGGCTTTACGTCGCTTTAGTCACGGGCTGAAGTTAGTTTTAAGTTAGTTGACAGTTGTCAAATGTCATACAATCGTTAAAATAAAGTGCCTTTCTTGTAAAATAATACTAAATGTAAAAATTATTTTATTATCTCAATACAAAAATACAAAAATATTAAATAGTTTCTCAACGCCAATATTTGAAAAGTTTATATGAACATTGTACCGACCTTTTAATTTCGCCGGCAGTAAACTATAACTTAAATTCGGGCACGGACTCTACTGTAAAGTCCTCATAAAACATTTCCTTTACTTTCACTGTGAAAAACTGTCAATTTTCAAGATACATTTCGATTTATAACCTTTATAATTGTGTTTATAAAATGTAAAAATGTGACATTTGACAGTTTCCCCTGTTGTTTCATAGATGGCGCTCTATACAAATTTTTGATTTAAATCATTTTAAGATAATAATAAGTATTTGTCGTAGAAAAAGTATAGTATGCACCTCGTTTATAAACTTTTCTATACACTCATTAACTTAAGCAAATTAAATTAAATTCGTGTATAAAATGGCGTTTATCATACATAAAATACAAAATTTCATAAAGATTAGTAAAGGCGTTTTAGAGTTAAATTTAGAGTTAAATTTTTTTTTACTTATGCGTTAATTTTGACTCGCAGTGTATTATTTAAAATTTCGCAATGCTGTTATTTTATGAAGTAGGTAACTTTTCTACTTAAAAATTACAAAAAAAAATTATTATTTAAAGACGATAATTTGCTGTAAAACGTCTTAGTGATTGCACGTGTCACTGGGAATATTAGAGATGTGGCTAAACCCTCAAACCTCAAATAAAAAAAACTCACGTTCTGGCCCTCTGTCGGGCCTGGTGGTGGGCGTCCAGTCCTTGGGCGAGCGTTTGCAGCGCCCCCACTTCGATTCTCGACGCGCATCTCTCCCCTCCGAACCACATGACCGTCGCGACTCGATCGCCGTCTACCGACGCGATTTTGCCCGGCCAGGCGGCGAAGCCTTTGGCCGGGCCCCAAACCAGATCACCAGTGTGAAAACTCGCATTTTCGTCTCGGTCTTCGCCCCCGCTTTCTGCACACCAAAACAACAGAATTTTGAATAAAGTTTGCTTTTTCTTTAGTCGAAAATTGACGTTTAATTGATTTGTCTAGAATCAGAACTTCAATTGCGTAATTCGCTTTTTAATAAAACCTTCTTTTATCATAGTCAAGTCACCAAGCAACATTTCGGATATTACAAAATTTTTGGGAAGCTATGTTAAAAATTAAAAACCATCTTTGGAACACTTGTTGCTTTTTTCTGCGTGAAAAATTATTTGACTAAAATTATTCTCAGACAAAAACGTTGATAAAGAAATACTGTTTAAATATAATATATTATCTTAAATGTTAAAACCTTCTTAGAACTCTAAAAAATTTCTTAAAAGTAAAAAATGTCCCAAAATTGTGCAAAAATGTCTTAAAACTGTCCTAAATTGGTATTAATTATGTTAAAAAATATCTAGATATTAAAACTTTCTTAGAACTCTCAAAAATGTTATTATTAACTGTTCAAATATGTCTTTATGATAAACCTTTCTTAAAACTCTAAAAAATGTCAATTGTCAAAATGTTATTAATACTGTTAAGGTAGTTGTCGTGCTGTAAGCATACCATCAATTTTTGTATACTTAGTAAGGACATGACAATACAATTATCCTTAAAATTTGAAGTCGATTGACCGTCTGTAACCCGAGATAAAAATTATTATTATATAAATTAAAAATTGGATAATTAACATGGATTGTATACGCATTCTGTTGTTCTGTACCAGTTTCTTAGTTATAAAAAAAACTGTCAGAAGCTTTCAAAAAACTAACAGTCTTTTAATGTATTTTTGCTGAGTTTAAAAAAAATAATTCTAAATTTTTGACCGTCCAATTGTTTATAAATAACCGTTTAAAGTTTAACAATTTGTAAAAATATACATACCAGTGAGTCGGATAAAAACAACTTGGCAACGCTGTACGCGAGTATATACTCGTAGATATTATTTTCGCAGTAAATTCAAACAATTGGTTGAGCATAAGCAAAGTTGCCGGATTAAAACTTATGAAAATATTTGAAAGTATTACGTAAGGGTAACGTCTCCAAGGGTAGTCTTGCAAAAAAATTATGAATCACTTAGCTACAAGCTCGTATACTTTTACGGTGCGTATTATCTAAACTTTTTTGACAATATTGTACCACGACAACTACCTTAAAATATATCTTTAAGTTAAAACTTTCTTAGAACTTCTTAGAACTCTAAAAAATGTTTTAACTGTCAAAAAAGGACCAAAAAAGTTCTAAAAAGTCTTAAAATTTTTTAAAACTTTCCTAAATTGATATTATGTTCAAAAATATCTAGATGTTAAAACTTCACTTAATTATAAAAAATCTCTCAACTGTGCAAAAAGTCCCCAAAAATGTCTTAATTAAAAAAACTCCCCCAAAATGGTAATAAAACAAGAACTTAAAAAAATCTTAACTGTCAAAAAATACCCAAAACTTCAAAAATATCTGTTAAAACTTTCTTCAAAAAATCTAACCTATCAAAAAAGTCCCAAAACTGTTGTTAAAAAATTTGTTCAAACTTATAAAATAGTCCCAAAAATGTTTAAAACCCTCCTTAAATGGTTTTAAAAAATCCCAATATTTTATTGGGTAATATTTCTAATATTTATCTATAAATTTATCTATATTATGTTAAAAAATATATAGAAATTAAAACTTTCTTAGAACTTTCAAAAATGTCTTAATGTGAAAAAAGTTACCAAAAAATGTATTATTTTTTAAAAACACTCCCCCAAAATGGGATTACAACTGTTCAAATATATCTTTATTTTAAAACTGTCTTAGAACTCTAAACGTTTTAACTGTGAAGTCCCAAAAATGTTCAAAGGTGCCTTAAAACTTTTTTAAAAGCCTCCTAAAATGGCATTAGTAGTTCCAAAAATGTTCAAAAATATCTGTTAAAACTTTTTCAGAACTCCAAAAATCTGAACTGTCAAAAAAGCCCCAAAACTGTTCATAAATGCCTTAACATTTTTTAAAACTTTCCTAAATTTCTAGATGTTAAAACTTTATTTTATCCCCAAAATGGTATTAAAACTGTTCAAATATATCTTTATGTTAAATATTTCTTGGAACTCTAAAATTGGTGTAACTGTCAGAAAAAATGCCTTCTTAGAACTCTAAAAAAATGTTTCAACTGTCAAAAAAGTCCCTAAACTGTTCAAAAATGTTTTTTAAACTTCTAAACTTTCAAAAAAAAAATATAGTGCCAAATACGAATATTTTTATATTGATATACTGATCAGTAAAACTGTACAGGAATTAAAAAAAAAATGTTGTGGTAGAAAAACTTTAAAATTGAAATTCTGACCCTAAATTAAACCATCAATTTTCGAATAAATATAAAACTCACTTTAAGATTTTTTTTCCAAATTTGCGAACCAAAGCCAAAAAAGAGCGCCCCAAAATGATTATGCGAAATTTTTGTACAAATGAATTAATTAGAAAAAAAAACTCACACCGTGTATTAATTTTAACGCCAATTATTTTAACGTTTTGTTAGCCACACCTTATAATATTCACACTTTTTGCATGGAATTTATGAAATAGTTTTTATTTACAAGTCGAATGGTTTTCGGCCCTAAGCTGAAAAGAAAAAACATGCAATATTAGAAATAAACCTTTTTTTTTAATTTAGGTCCAAGTTGACAAATTTTTTTAAAATTTTGGAGATTTTTAAAATTCAACAAATTACAATATTTGCAATAAAAAAAAAACAAATGAAATTTAAAAAAAATATTGAAAATATTTCTCCATGTTTGGAAAAAATTTCAAAATATTGATTTTTTTTTAGAATTCCCAACATGTATTAATCAATTAAATTCCAAAAATATTTTTAGAAAAATCTTAAATTTTTAAAGAATGTCAAAATTTATAAAAAATCAAACATTTTAAAATTTTTAAAAAATAATTTATAAATCTTAAAATTTATAAAAAAAATTAAGGATATAACAAAAAAAAATAAATTTTGAAAAATCTTAGTTTTTTTAAATTTTCCAAATTTTGACATTTTTAAAAATTAAAATTTTTGGGAATCTTTAAAAAATTATACATTTTTAAAATTAAATTAAAATTTTTTTAAAACGGTACCAAAATTTATACATTTCAAATTAAAAAAAAATATATTTTTGAAAATTTGAACAAAAATTCAAATTTTAGAAAAATTCTCTTAATTTCCCAACAATTTAACATTTTTAGAAAAATCTCAAATTTTAAAAAGATTGCAAAATTTATAAAAAAAATAATCAAATTATTTAAAATCTTGGAAAAAATTCTAATTTTGAGAATTCTTCAAAGTTTTTAAAAATTCAGACATTTCCAAAACTAAAATTTTTGAGAATTTAAAAAAAATTCATAATTTAAAAAAAAAACTATTTTTATTTATTTATTTATCAACATTTTCAAAAATTTGAGAAAAAATTTTAATTTCCAATTTTAAATTTTCCCAATTTTGAAAACTTTGGGACCCAAACAAAAAATTGAAATCGTGAACCTGAAAGAAAAAATTAGCGAAAAGTGTTTTAGTGCAGAAGGATGATTAATAAAGCAATAAAAATAAAATGTAAAAAGTCATGTGTCCTTTATTTTCCAATCAATCAAAATCAATACAAAATAAGTTAATAACAACAATAACTACTTACAGTACAGTACATATTCAACTCTAAAAGTTAAATAAATAAAAAAAAGTCTAGGCAAAAAATGGTGTGTACAGTAGTAGTAGTTCAATAGAAAACATGTAACATTAATTAAAATGGTTAAAAGTAGAAAATTCACCACGCCTTTGAATTTCACATGCTGTATTTTTGGTGATAACAAGCCAAGTGTGAAAGCAAACATTTACGTAATGTTAAAAATAAATAAATTAGTGTACAATAATAAATAAATACAAAAATAATCATGTTTTGTAAGATTATTAGTACATGTATAAAAGATTAAAAATAAATGTGGATAAAAGCACAACCCACACAACAAGGTCTGTTCTATATCATGCTAAAAATACTAAAAATCAATGCAACACTGCACAGAGTTTAACGGCGGCCATTTTTGTTGTTTGCAATTCTTGTGCTTTGGGTTTGTGCTCTGTTTAATAATTGTTTTAAACGTTGGGTTTCTTACAGAGGCACTTGTAAGCCTCAAATAAGGCCTTTAAGTGCTAAGGACAACCATTTTACTCCTCTTTTATAATAAATATACCTTATTCTATCAGGGCTGTCAAATGACAATTTGTGGGTTATAATTTAACCTTAAAATTGACGTTTGACAGTTTTATGACAGCCCTGATAGAATAAAGTTTATTTTTTACAATAGAGGAGTAAAATGGTTGTTCTTAGCACTTTAAGGCCTCTTTTAAGGCTTACTATGAGAAACACAATGTTTAAAGTTTGAAAAATATTCAAAATTTTTAAAAATTTTCCAAATTTAGAAATATTCTCTACATTTTTAAAATTAAATTGCAATTAATTTTAAAATTAAATTCCAAAAATTTTAAAAATCCAATATTTTTACAAATATCTGTCAAATTTTAGAAAGTTCATAAAAAATAATCAATTTTCTGAGAATCTTAAAAAATGTTTAAATTTTTCAAAAAATTTCTAAACTTAGAACATTTTTAAAATTAAATTCCAAAAATCCAATATTTTTAGAAAAATCTCTTTAAATTTTAGATTTCTAAAAAATCACAATTTTTTTAAAAATCATCAAATTTTGAAAAATATTCAAAATTTTTAAAAATTCTCTAAATTTAGAAATATTTTCAACATTTCCAAAATTAAATTGCAAATAATATTAAAATTAAATTCAAAAATTTTAAAAATCCAATATTTTTACAAAAATCTCTTAAATTTTAGAAAATTCATAAAAAATAATCAATTTTCTGAGAATCTTGTTGAAAATATAATTGAAAAAAGAAAATTTTGAAAAAATGTTTAAATTTTTCAAAACTTTTCTAAATTCAGAAGTAGGTATTCTTAACAATTTTAAAATTAAATTCCAAAACTCCAATATTTTTAGAAAAAATACAATTTTTTTAAATTTTTTAAAAACTTTCAAAATTTAGAAATATTCTCAACATTTCCAAAATTAAATTGCATATTATTTTAAGATTTTAGAAAAATGTCTTAAATTTTAAAAAAAATTTCAAAATTTATAAAATAAAAATAAAAAACATTTTTAATTTTTAAAAATAAGCTAAATTTCGAACATTTCCAAAATTAAATTCCAAAATTTAAAATTTTAATTAAAAAATAATACCTAATATTATTGAAAATCTTAAAAATATTAAAAATTTTGAAAAATCTTCAAAATTTTTAAAAAATTAAAATTGACTTTTGACAGTTTTATGACAGCCCTGATAGCACTTTAAGGACTCTTTTAAGGTTTACTATGAGAAACGCAACGTTTAAAACGATTATTAATCTGTATAAACAGAGCGCAAACCCAAAGCACAAAAATTGTAAACAACAAAAATGGCCGCCGTTAAACTGTGCAGCAGGGTGATTCATTTCCGCAAAGTTTTTGTTTTTTTTCGGTGCTCAAGCAAAATATTAATCTGCATATAGGAAAAAACATTCTCACCAAGTTTGAGCTCTTAATATTAATTTTAAGCACTTACTATTTCAATTTAAAGTTTTACCGTTTAAAATGCATGTAAAAATATATTTTTTTTTCAAATTTCTAATGCTTACCCACCTTTGACAATATTGCAAATCGGTTTAATACACCTAATGGGGAATTTCACGCTCTTTAAAATTGCTTTTGAGTTTTTTTTGTAACTCGCATTGGTTCACCAGTAGGAGTCGTCAAAGGACAGTTTTTTGAAAAAAATCGTTTTTTTTTTTAATTTTTTCTAACAAACCGCAAAAAGTAGGGAGAAAAAAGGGCTGATTCATAAAAAAAAGTTATCCAACCAATATTTAATTAATTTACTGCCATTTTTATAACTGAAAACGTAAGAAATTGATAATTACCAACTCATAATGTTATTTAAATTGATTTTTTCTATTTATTATCATTATATTTCCCTACACTAAGAACTTTTTTAAAATTATTATGATTTCTCACTCACAATGAATATGAAAACAACACATAAATTTATAAAAAAACAACAAAACTTTAATCGGAATATACAAAAGGGTATGTAACATATTTCAAATTTCGCTTTAAAAAATTAAATAATCTTCATTTATATTTTTTTGCTATATGACAGAAATGTTGAAAAATTGCAAAATCCACGTTACAATTTTCTTATTGTTTTATTTATGAATTTATTTGTTGTTTTCATATTCATTATAAGTGAGAAATCAATAATTTTAAAAAACTTCTTAGTGTAGGGAAATATAATGATAATAAATAGAAAAAATCAATCTAAATAACATTATGAGTTGGTAATTATTAATTTTTTACTCTTCAGATATAAAAATGGCTGTAAATTCATTAAATATTGGTTGGATAACTTTTTTTATGATTCAGCCCTTTTTTCTCCCTACTTTTTGTGGTTTGTTAGAAAAAATTAAAAAAAAAAACGATTTTTTTCAAAAACTGTCCTTTGACGACTCCTACTGGTGAACCAATGCGAGTTACAAAAAAAAACTCAAAAGCAATTTTAAAGAGCGTGAAATTCCCCATAAGGTGTATTAAACCGATTTGCAATATTGTCAAAGGTGGGTAAGCATTAGAAATTTGAAAAAAAATAAATATTTTTTACATGCATTTTAAACGGTAAAACTTTAAATATAAATAGTATGTACTTAAAATTTATATGAAGAGCTCAAACTTGTTGAGAATTTTTTTTTCTATATGCAGATTAATATTTTGCTTGAGCACCGAAGAAAACAAAAACTTTGCGGAAATGAATCACCCTACTGTGCAGTGTTGCAGTGATTTTTCGTATTTTCAGTACGAGATAGAACAGACCTTGCTGTGTGGATTGTGGTTAATTAAAAGTACAGTAAGTGTATAAAACAGTGTTAATAAAGTGAGATGTGTCCCCCAAAATGAATGCAAAAAAAGCGTTAATTAAACGTAATCGTAATACTCATCGTCGGAATCGTCCGTACCTTCGTCGTCCTCGAACATCGAAGTGTGCATCGTCTCCATGACGACCATTGCGTCGCTGTTTTTGCGCTTCATTTGTTTGTCGTAGTCGCGCGAGCTCACCACGGCCTCCTGCTGCTGTTTTAAGTGCTCGTGCGCGAAGAACTGCGCGTTAAAAAAGAGAGAGAGAGAATTAATTTGATGGTTGGTAAATTCTCATATAACTTGTTTCGATGCTGTATCCACTTATTTTTGTGAAAACTAATTCTCGCTCAAGGTTTTTTTAGTGTAATAAGCATGTAGCATTTCAAGGTAATTGGAACTTAAATTATGACAACCCTAATCTATTAATTTTTTCCTAAAATGCAGGCTTTATGTTGCAAATGTCACGTAAGTTACCGGTCACCAACTGCAATATCCTAACATCGATGAATATTTCAACAAAATGGCCGTTCAAACAACTAATGTTAGTGCTTGATTAACTAAAAATAGACTTAAGATTGACGAAAAATTATTTTATCCGAAATCGGCAGTAAAGTAGAACTTTACTGTCGATTTATTTTAATTTACGATTGTTGACTACTTTACTGCCGATTTCGGATAAAATAATTTTTCGTCAATCTTAAGTCTATTTTTAATTAATCAAGCACTAACATTAGTTGTTTTGTTGAAATATTCATCGATATTGCAGTTGGTGACCGGTAACTTACGTGACATTTGCAACATAAAGCCTAATAGATTAGGGTTGTCATAATTTAAGTTCCAATTACCTTGAAATGCTACATGCTCATTGCACTAAAAAAAACGTTGAGCGAGAATTAGTTTTCACAAAAATAAGTGGATACAGCATCGGAACAAGTTATATGAGAATTGACCGGTTAAGCTGAAAACTCGAGAACTTACGAAGTTCTTTTCGGCGTGCGTTCCGGCCGCCGCGAAGGTGGAGGATTCCGCGTAGGACTTCTTGGCGAAGTTTATGTTTTGATTGTTGAGGTCCGCCGAGTCTGGTTCGCTGCTCGAGATGCAGTGCACCATCGCCTTAAGAACAGAATTGCAAAAATGTTGACGTAAAAATAATGCAATCGTCATTTTTTTAATGGAAATGTAGATTGAATACATTAATCATTAAAAAAAAATGTGATGAGAAATATTTAGTAATTGTAATCATATAAATTACCAATTACCAAAGATTAACAAATGTAGTTCAATTACCATGAAAAGTAATTTATTATTTAGGCACAATTGAATTACTTTTAAGTAATTGAACTACTTTTTAGTAATAGAATTACTTCTTAGTAATTGAATTAATTTTAAATAATTAGATTACTTTTAAGGATTGAATTGCTTATAAATTTGTTGAATTACACTCACGTGCAAAATAATTGATCCACGCAAATTTTCGATGAATTTCAATCGCAAATAACTTTTTTATAAATAAATATAAAATATATACATAAAATTGACAATTTTTATTTATTTCTGTCAAAACAGTTAAATATATAAAAAGTGATATCCCATTATAAAATTGTCTTTTAAGGTTTAAAAAGCATTAAAAATCGAAAATTGACAAATTTTACTGTTTTTCGTTCAAGCACTTAAATATGTCAAAATGATATTAAAAAATTAAAAATTATTTGTATGAAAATTCCAATATTTAAAAATTGCCTTTTCGGTTTAAAAAGCATTAGTAAGAAAATCCCAAAATTTAAAAATTGTCTGGTTTGGTTTAAAGCATTAAAAATAAAAAAAATTGACAATTTTTACTGATTTTTGTCGAAACAGTAAATTATGCAAAAGTTAAACATTAAAAATTATTAGTATGAAAATCCCAATATTTAAAAATTATCTTTTTCGGTTTAAAAGCATTAAAAATCAAAAATTGACATTTTTTACTGATTTTTTTAACAGTTAAATATGAAAAAGTGATATTAAAAAATTTAAAATTGGTATGAAAATCCCAATAATTAAAAGTTTCGATTTAAAAAAGCATTAAAAATTAAAAATTGACACTTTTTACTGATGTTTGTCATAAGTGATATTAAACAATCAATCCCAATATTTAAAAATTGTCTTTTACGGTTTAAAAAGAATTAAAATTAAAATTTTGACAATTTTTAGTGATTTTTGTCAAAGCAGTTAAATATGTTAAAGTGATATTAAAAATTAAATATTATTAGTATGAAAATCACAATTTCGGTTTAAAAAGCATTTAAATAAAAAATTGACAATTTTTACCGATTTTTGGTAACAAAAAGTGATATTAAAAAATTAAAATTGGTATAAAAATCTCAATATTAAAAAGCATAAAATCAAAAATTATCAAAAATTGATCATTTTTACTGATTTTTGTCAAAACAGATAAATATGTAGAAGTGATTTAAAAATGAAATCATGGTACGAAAATCGCAATATTTTCAGTTTAAAAAGCATCAAAGATAAAAAATTAAGAATTTTTACTGATTTTTGTTAAAAATGATATTAAAATTCATTGGTATAAAAATCCCAATATTTAAAAAGTGTTTTTTCGGTTTAGAAGCATTAAAAATAAAAAATTGACAATTTTAACGGATTTTTGTCAAAACAGTTAAATATGTAAAATTGTTTTTTTCGGTTTAAAAAAGCATTAAAAATTACTGATTTTTGTTAAAACAGTTAAATATATAAAAGTGATATTAAAAAATTTAAAATTGGTGTGAAAATCCCAGTTAAATATGTAAAAGTGATATTAAAAATCATTGGTATGAAAATCCCAATATTTTTCGGTTTAAAAAGGATTAAAAATAAAAAATTAACAATTTTTACTGATTTTTGTCAAAACAGTTAAATTTGTTAAAAATGATATAAAAAATTAAAATTCATTGGTATAAAAATCCCAATATTTAAAAAGTGTTTTTTCGGTTTAGAAGCATTAAAAATAAATAATTGACAATTTTAACGGATTTTTGTCAAAACAGTTAAATATGTAAAATTATCTTTTTCGGTTTAAAAAAGCATTAAAAATTACTGATTTTTGTTAAAACAGTTAAATATATAAAAGTGATATTAAAAAATTTAAAATTGGTGTGAAAATCCCAGTAAATATGTAAAAGTGATATTAAAAATCATTGGTATGAAAATCCCAATATTTTTCGGTTTAAAAAGGATTAAAAATAAAAAATTAACAATTTTTACTGATTTTTGTCAAAACAGTTAAATTTGTTAAAAATGATATAAAAAAATTAAAATTCATTGGTATAAAAATCCCAATATTTAAAAACTGTCTTTTTTCGGTTTAACAAGCATTAAAAATCAAAAATTGACAATTTTTACCGATTTTTGGTAACAAAAAGTGATATTAAAAAATTAAAATTGGTATGAAAATCTCAATATTAAAAAGCATAAAATCAAAAATTATCAAAAATTGATCATTTTTACTGATTTTTGTCAAAACAGATAAATATGTAGAAGTGATTTAAAAATTAAATCATGGTACGAAAATCGCAATATTTTCAGTTTAAAAAGCATCAAAGATAAAAAATTAAGAATTTTTACTGATTTTTGTTGAAAATGATATTAAAATTCATTGGTATAAAAATCCCAATATTTAAAAAGTGTTTTTTCGGTTTAGAAGCATTAAAAATAAAAAATTGACAATTTTAACGGATTTTTGTCAAAACAGTTAAATATGTAAAATTATCTTTTTCGGTTTAAAAAAGCATTAAAAATTACTGATTTTTGTTAAAACAGTTAAATATATAAAAGTGATATTAAAAAATTTAAAATTGGTGTGAAAATCCCAGTTAAATATGTAAAAGTGATATTAAAAATCATTGGTATGAAAATCCCAATATTTTTCGGTTTAAAAAGGATTAAAAATAAAAAATTAACAATTTTTTACTGATTTTTGTCAAAACAATTAAATTTGGTAAAAATTATGTTAGGTATTCATGAAAAAAATCCAAATATTGAAAAATTGTCTTTTTTGGTTTAAAAGCATTAAAAATCAAAAATTAACAATTTTTACTGATTTTTGTCAAAACAGTTAAATTTGGTAAAAATGATAAACGGAAAAACAGGTTTTTCCCCAATTTTTTCAGTTTATTTTTTCGACACTTTAAAACCCTAGAAATAACGTCGCAACTTTCCCAATTATTTTTGGAAATTTCGAAAAAATCGCAAAATCATCAAAATCAAAAAACACTCACCATCGAACACGACTGATGCCGCCCGGGCAAGTTCAAATCGCTGCAGCTAGAGGGCGCGGGCGACAGCCCGTCGTCCGTGCTCCCCGAATGCGTCGTGGTGTCCGCCGTGGGCGGACTCTGTCCGCCGGACGACGCCATCGGACTCATCGTCGTCGTGTCCGGCGGACTCCCTGCCGAAGTGAACACCGACTGAGCGCGACTTCCGGCCGTCTGCGTCGAAACCGACTGCCGGCAGTGCGGCTGCAACACCACCGCCTGCAGCTGCGGCTGCAGCTGCTGCAGCTGCTGATTTTTCGAATTGTCCGAGACCACAAAGTTCTGGTTGCTGTTGTGGCCGCCGTTGGACACCATGGTGGTCTGCTGCTGCACGATGGTGGTGTTCTGCTGCACGTACGTGGTGTTCTGCTGCTGGTTGGAGGACGATACGGCGATGTTCGCCGGCACCATCAGGGTTTGACCCATCTGGTTGCACTGTATGTATTCTTGCTGCTGCTGCGGTTGTATAGCGTTGTTGGCGCGTATCGTTTGCGGGGAGGAGCTGAACGCGCGACCCAAGCCGAGATCCTGGCGGAAAAGAATCACCGTTTGTTTCAAACATTCTTGAATTCGTATATACAGGGTGTCCCATAATTACATACTTTAACAGCAGATTCTACGTACAAAAATAAGAAAAAAAGTTCCTATAAAAATAGGTCGAGAAATGCTTTTCAGCCCCTAAATGAGGACACCCTGAAGATGGTTTTTATTTAATATATCCAAAACCGTTCAAGGTAGAAAAGTAAAATTTTGGGAATTAAATCAAACTTTTTATGATCAATAAGATGTAATAATAACAATTCAAAGATAGATAGGTAATAGGGGTTAAAACCAACCTAACTTTTTGTACGTGTCTCGTGCTAGGATTTGATGCCAGATTATGAAATTTCGGAATTTTTCTTACTTTTGTACGTAGAAACTGCTAATTATGGGACACCCTGTATACATTGTGTTTGATTGGACACAATTTGGTATTTAAAAATTATTCGATTTGTTTTAGGCACTCTGTATAAATTCTAGCAAAGATTTTGCAAAAATATTTTGTCATTTCTTTAGGTATTTTATTAAAGATCAAAAATTGACAACTTTTACTGATTTTTATCAAAACAGTTAAATATGTTAAAGTGATATTAAAAATTTAAAGTATTAGTATAAAAATCCCAATATTTAAAAATTGTCTTCTTTGATTTAAAAAGCATTAAAAATCAAATATTGTCAATTTTTAATTATTTTTATCAAAACAGTTAAATATGTAAGAGTGATATTAAAAATTAAAAATCAAAAATTGACAAATTTTACTGTGACAGTTATATAAGTAAGAAGTTGGTATTAAAAAATTAAAAATCATTATTTTGAATATACCAATATTTAAAAATTGTCTTTTTCGGTTTAAAAAGCACTATAAATCAAAAATTGACAATTTTTACTGATTTTTGTCAAAACAATTAAATATGTTAAATTAAAAATCATTAGTATGAATATCCCAATATTTAAAAATTGTCTTTTTCGGTTTAAAAATCATTGGAAATAAAATATTCACAATTTTAACTGATTTTTGTCAAAACAGTTAAATTTGGTAAGAATGATATTAAATATTAAAAATTATTGGTATGAAAATCCCAATATTTAAAAATTGTCTTTTTTGGTTTAAAAAGCATTAAAAATAAAAAATTGATATTTTTACTGATTTTTTTCAAAACAGTTAACTATGTAAAAGTGATATTAAAAAATTAAAAATTATTGGTATGAAAATCCCAATATTTAAAAATTGCCTTTTTGGTTTTAAAAAGCACCAAAAATCAAAAATTGACAATATTTAGTGATTTTTGTCAAAACAGTTAAATAGTTAAAGTGATGTTAAAAAATTAAAAATTATCCGAAATAAAATCCCAATATTTAAAAATTGTTTTTTTTTTCGTTTTAAAAAGCATTAAAAATCAAAAATTGGCAATTTTTACTGATTTTAGTCAAAACAGTTAAATATGTAAAAGTGATATTAAAAAATAAAAAAAGCATTCAAAATAAAAAATTGACATTTTTTATTTCTTTTAAAATTCCAATATCTAAAAATTGTCTTTTTCAGTTTAAAAAGCATTAAAAATCAAAAATTGACAATTTTTACTGATTTGTGTCAAAACAGTTAAATATGTAAAAGTGACATACAAAAATTAAAAATCATTAGTATGAAAATCCCAATATTAAAAAATTGTCTTTTTCGGTTTAAAAAGCATTAAAAATTAAAAATTGACAATTTTTACTGATTTTTGTTTAAGTAGTAAAATATGTTAAAGTGATATTAAAAAAATTAAAAATCATTGGTATGAAAATCCCAATATTTAAAAATTGTCTTTTTCGGTTTAAGCATTAAAAATCAAAAATTGACAATTTTTATTGATTTTTGTCAAAACAGTTAAATATGTAAGAGTGTTATTAAAAATATTAGAATAAAAATCCCAAAATTTAAAAATTCTCTTTTTCAGTTTAATGGCGGGTTTATACAACTTCATATCATTAATTTATTTCATAATTGACAATTTAGTGCATAAGCATAAAAGTTAAATCGTACTATCTGCTATGAAACAGTTTATACAACGATTTAATTCGTAACTCATAATTTAGTGTTTATTGAATAACCTTGAAAGTTCATAAAATTTAACTTTTATGAAATAAATTATAAATTATAAATAAGATTGAACAGCGCATGTGCCAACAATTTTTCGCTCTCCATTTTTTAAGGTTATAATTAATAATTATTTTGTTTTGTGTTTGTGCCTTAAAAAATACTACAAAGTTCCTACAAAACATGAGTTTTAATGAGTGATTTTGTGTTATTAGAACTTTTAATTATCAATATTGTCATTTGAAAAAATAAAATATATATTAAATTAATGAATTGTATAAACCAGATTTTAAAGTTATGTATTGTGTATTAAATTATGCATTAAATTAACAATTGAGTTATGAAATAAATTGTTCACTAAATTATTAATTGTTGTATAAACCCGCCTTAAAAAGCATTAAAAATCCAAAATTGAAAATTTTTAGCAATTTTTGTCAAAAATATGTAAAAAAGATATTATAAAATTAAAAACCATTGGTATGAAAATTCCAATACATAAAAATTGCCTTTTTTGTTTTAAACAGCACTAAAAATCAAAAATTGAACATTTTTAGTGATTTTTGTAAAAACAGTTAAATGTGTAAAAGAGACATTAAAAAATTGTCTTTTTTGGTTTAAAAAAAAGTATTAAAAATCAAAAATTGATAATTTTTACTTATTTTTAATTTTAAGTTAATTTATATTAAATACAAATTTTGTACTATGTAGTATTTTTTATGACAAATAAAATTAAATTATTATTATTACCATAAAATGTTTGTTAATTAATTAATTAATTAACGTATTTTTTAGTAGTTTTATTAGTATTTTTCGAATTGAATATTTTAAAAATAAAAATGTTTAAATCATTATTTTTGTTAATAAAAATTGTAAAAATGATTGAGTACTCACGCTGGCCACCAGCGGGCTCAACTGGCCGCCGAACTGCGCCCCGTTGACCACGAACTGCCCGCCGTTGGGCGCCAGAAACTGCGCCCCGGGGCTGTGCTGCTGCTGCTGCTGCTGCACCAGCTTCCCCTGGTGCTGCGCCGCCTGCTGCTGCGGCGCCCTGATCACCATCCCCGCCGGCCCGGCCGCCAGGATGCCCTGCGCCCCCCCGAAGATGCCCTGGCTCTGCACCGGCGTCAGCACGTTCTGCAGCTGCAGCTGCACGCCCGCGTCCTGCACGATGGTGGCGGTGCCGTCGGCGTTCATCACCACGCTGCTGCCGCCCAGGTTGGGCACGATGAACTGCTGGATCGGGAAGTTCTGAACGCCGTTGATGAGGTTCACCGGTTGCAGCAGGTTTATCTGCTGCCCCGGTTGCGGGTTCGTTATCAGCTGCGTTTTGCTCGGCACTATGGTCAGCGCTTGCATCATCGGCCCCGCTGTTATACCTAAAAGGCGTTTCATACTCAACATTACATTCTTGCAGCAACGGAGCAGGCAAAAACAAGAATTGTCATACAAGAAGCACCATATTTCGTCGTAATATTTTCATACAAATCTATTTTTTCTACAGATATGAAATGTGTACAAAAATAAATATATTTAAAAATGTTACTTATGAAATCCTGCGTTGAAGGCGTTAATAAATACCTATTATATATGGGTCAGTCCATGTCAACTCAACACACCACCTCAGATTTTCTTAAAATTTGATATACTTATACTATGTACTAAGACTAAGAAAAATACCAATTTTTAAATTTTTATCTCACACCGTTTCCGATATATGGCTATGTAAAGTTTTTAAAAACTCGCGAAAAAAGTGTGAACGTGTATTTTTTAAATTGCTCTGGAAGCTGTCCTAATTCAGCTAGAACGCTGGGAGAGGTGTCATTTTGCAGCATTTTAAATGCTCTTTCAAATGACATACGAACGCCAAGGGTATTAATGAAAAGATTTTGTTCAAAATCCATATATATATATTTTGATTAAATTTTTTTTCAAAAAGTACATAATTTAAAATTCTCAAAATATTTGTATAAATACTTAGTACTGTTTTAAACCATATAGTAAAATATAAATGTGGGGTCTTAATGGGTTCATGTTAAAAAAAAATATTTGTGATGCTGGTTTTTCACTTAACTAATTTTGACAGTTTTGTTACATCTTTCCTGCGGGTATGACAAATCATGGAGCCAATCATCCATGCTGGGACTTTTCTCAGTTTTTTTCTGTCTCTAATAAAATGATTTGTTTTTTTCATTGGATTATAACACTGCACTATTACAATAGTAGGCTCCATGTTGACACCAAAATCACTTTTAAACACACCTCATTTATAGTTTTATTTTTAAATAAACTACGAATATATACAGGGTCCGATAAAAGTTCCCTGAATTTTTTTTAAGCGAGTTTAAAATTTATCAATAAGGTTTTCGCGGAAATTGTTTGCTCGAGCAGGTTCCTAGAACCCTTTCAATTCTGAAAATATTCATTTTATGTTGTTCTGTTTAAAATTTAGTTCAATATGAATCGCCAAAAAAAGCGTATCACAGTAATTGAATTAAAAAAGTCGGGAATGTAGGCAGCCGATATTATTAGGGTTCTTAGAACCCTTATATTTTTGAAAATATTCATTTTATGTTGTTTTGTTTAAAATTTAGTCCAATATGAATCGCCAAAACAAGCGTATCACAGTAATTAAATTACACAAGTCGGGAATGATGACAGCCGATATTATAAAAAAAAATACAATTGCCATGCTTAAGCTTGATAAACGTTGAATAATGTCAAAATTAGTTAAAAGTGAAAAACCAGCATCAGAAATATTTTTTTTAACAATGAACCCATTAAGACCCCACATTAATATTTTATTATATGATTCAGAACACTACCAAGTATTTATACAAATATTTTGAGAATTTTAAATTATGTACTTTTAAAAAAAAATTAAATCAAAATATATATATGGATTTTGAACAAAATCTTTTCATTAATACCCTTGGCAGTCGTATGTCATTTAAAAGAGCATTTAAAATGCTGCAAAATGACACCTCTCCCAGCTTTCTAACTAAATTAGGACAGCTTCCAGCGCAATTTAAAAAATAAACGTTCACACTTTTTTCGCGAGTTTTTAAAAACTTTACATAGCCATATATCGGAAACGGTGTGAGATAAAAATTTAAAAATTAGTATTTTTCTTAGTCTTAGTACATAGTATAAGTATACCAAATTTTAGGAAAATCTGAAATGGTGAGGAAAAATTTCTTTTTAAAGTGTGTTGATTTGGCATGGAATGGCTCATATAGATAGAACACGCTAATGGAGAAAAAATGATCCAAAAAAGATTACCAGTTTTCTCAATATTTTTACAAACTTGTGTAAACATTTTTTCATCATTAAAAAAAGTTATAAGGGGCAAAGCAAATACAAATGGTTCGGGACGGTTTTTCAAAATATTACCATAATTTTGAATTTATGTTCATCAAAATATGGATAAATAAAATAGTCCAGGAAACAAAGATTGTAGAAGGAAAACGCGATGGTAGTACTTTTGGTTATGTACAACGTTAAACCCCATTGCGCACCTATATGACGTACCCTTTTGCTATGCGCAGTGTGCAAAGTTTAGCGTTGCTTTCAAAATCACTTTTTTGTTTTTTTTATTATTGCCCAATTTTAAAAGTAGGTAATCGATCCCAAACCTTACGGTAATCAAACATAACCGAATGGACGATTTTTTGAGGTACTGGACTTTTTTCAAAAATTATTGCTTTTCAAAAAATCCATTCTTTATTTCCCAAACAACTTTAATGAGCCAGTTCGTTCTACCCTAGATTTTTAGGTACACTTATCCTCGTAACGAATCCGTAGTTTTTTTAAATTATTTTCATTGCAAGTGCCACACAAAAATTAAAGTTTTATTTTAATATTTTTAAACTAAAAATGTATGATATTTTAATATTTTTTAAATTCCCAATTTTTACAATTTCTTTTTAAATTTTAAATTTAATATTTTTTGAGTCCCAAACTTTTTTTTTATTTTTATGAGTTATTTTAATATTTTTTAGGTACCTAATTTTTATATATTTTTTAAAAATGTGTGATATTTTGTTTTTTGCCCATTGAATTTTAGAAGTAATTTTAATATTTTTAGGTTTCTATTTTTTATAATTTTTTTTTGATTTTCATGATTTTATGAGTTACTTTAATATTTTTAAGTACCTATTTTATATAATTTATTTTTTTTTAATTTTATAATGATTTTACTTTTTTTGTAAAAATGTATGAAATTTAGTTTTTTGTCAATTACATTTTAAAGGTAATTTTGATATTTGTTGAGTACCTATTTTTTATAATTTAATTTTTTTTTTTAATTTTATTATGATTTTACTGTTTTATGGAATTTACCATAATTTCAACTACATTTGGTGTCATTTTATCTATCAACAGCTGTGAGTTAAGTATTTTAGTATTTTTTAAGTACCTAATTTTTATATATTTTTTAAAAAATGTATGATATTTTGTTTTTTTGCCAATTGAATTTTAGAAGTAACTTTGATATTTTTTAAGTTTCTATTTTGTTTTTTTTAATTTTAAATTTAATATTTTTTGTGTACCTACCTATTTTTTATAAATTTTTTTTTATTTTCATGATTTTATGAGTTATTTTAATTTTATGAGTTATTTTAATTAAGTACCTAAAGGTAATTTTGATATTTTTAGGTTTCTATTTTTTATATTTTTTTTTTGATTTTCATGATTTTATGAGTTACTTTAATATTTTTAAGTACCTATTTTATATAATTTATTTTTTTTAAATTTTATAATGATTTTACTTTTTTTGTAAAAATGTATGAAATTTAGTTTTTTGTCAATTACATTTTAAAGGTAATTTTGATATTTGTTGAGTACCTATTTTTTATAATTTAATTTTTTTTTTTTAATTTTATTATGATTTTACTGTTTTATGGAATTTACCATAATTTCAACTACATTTGGTGTCATTTTATCTATCAACAGCTGTGAGTTAAGTATTTTAGTATTTTTTAAGTACCTAATTTTTATATATTTTTTAAAAAATGTATGATATTTTGTTTTTTTGCCAATTGAATTTTAGAAGTAACTTTGATATTTTTTAAGTTTCTATTTTTTTTTTTAATTTGTAATTTAATATTTTTTACCTACCTATTTTTTATATATATTTTTTTATTTTCATGATTTTATGAGTTATTTTAATTAAGTACCTAAAGGTAATTTTGATATTTTTTGAGTACCTATTTTTTATAATTTAATTTTATTATGATTAAGTATACTGTTTTATTGAATTTACCATATTTTTAACTATATTTGGTGTCATTTTATCAATAGCTGCAATAAAATATTAATTCAATATTAAAAATAGCCAAATTTTCCATGCTTTTTATTTTTTTGGCTAAAAATACCCTTTAGCACAATTTCTGTTAATATCCTCTCACCCTGCGGACTGTGCGCCATCTGTATCTGTTGCGGGAAGCTGACCACTCCGGAGTTTTGCTGCGCAGCGATGTGCAGCATCCCCGCCACCGTCTGCGACGAGGTTTTCCGCTTTTTGCCCTTCTTCTTCGTTTCCGGCGACGCCATTTGCTGCCCGCGCCGGTCCTGGTTGTCTATCTGGATCTGCTGCTGGATCACGTTGCCCGCCAGAAGTTGCGGTATCTGCACGTTTTGACCTAAAATCGTCGAAAAAATGACAAAATAGAAAAAAACTGCCTACAAAATTGTTAAAACACGATGAAAGATTTCGTGTTAGATAATAAAAAAATATTTAAGAACAAAGTAGGTTAGTTAACCAGTAATTGACCAGTTAAGGAAATAATTAAAAAAATCAAAAAATAGTCAAAAATCGACATTTTTTTGAGAGCCCATAAAGTTTCAAAAGTTTTGAAAATAATAAAAGTATGGTAAATTCCATGAAACAGTAACAAATAATAAAACACAAAATATAAATAATGAAAAAACTTAAACAAACAACAGAAAGTATAGAAAAGAGCAAAACCCCAAAAAATCATTGTGTAAAATGATGGCATTTCTATAAAATATAGGAAGTTATAAAGTTGTGTAAAACAAATAATAATATATAAACGAATTTCGATAAAAACTAAAGTAAAGTAAATCGAAAAAGAATTAGGTCCGGAAAATAAAAATATAGAAAATTGTTTAAAAACAAGGTAAAGTGTTTAAAATTATTAATTGTTAAATATAGTTTAAAATTTAAAGGAATTTTTATCAAAAAACAAAGCAAAGAAAATAATAGAAAAATGTCAAAAAAGGTAAATTTTAAAAACATCTTCAAAAAGTATGTATAGAAAACGTTAAAAAAACATTTTAAATACAAAAAAAAAATGTTTAAGGAATTTTTACAAAGTATTGGAATAATAAAAATTAAAAAATTATAAACATTATAAAAAATTTCAAAGAAAAATAATAATGTAAGTAATGAGGAATTTTACGAATAGTTGGAAATAATTAAAAAATTAAATACAAACATTGCATAAAAAATATTTTTAAAAAGTATAATCAATTAAATTATTAATTAATAATACAAAATTAAGGGAAAGTATGGAAACTATTAAAAAATTAAATGAATCAAAAATTGTGGAAAAATCATAAGATGATTTCAAGTATAGGAAATTTATAAGAATTTGACAACATACCAAACTGTCAAGGTAAATTCCAAAAAAATAGTAAAAAAATATGAAGACTTCTTAAAAACGCTAAAATGAACCAAAATCATCATTCTTCTCTAATATCCTTAAATACCTTTTAACATTCTAAAATAGGGTTTTGTCATAAATAAGTTTATTATTTAAAAAAATTTCTTAAAATCATAAACGAATTTCAATAAAAAACCAAAGGAAACTATATCAAAAAAGAATTAGGTCTGGAAATTTTATTAAAAATAAAAATATAGAAAATTGTTTAAAATTATTAATAGTCTAAATAGGTTTTTTTTACTAAAAGACATAAAAAATAATAGAAAAATGTAAAAAATGGTAAATTGTAAAAACATCTTCAAAAAGTATGCATAAAATTTTAAGAGAAAAAAATAGCAAAAAAATAATACAAAAAATGCAAAAAAAATTAAAAGTGTGAATTTTGGAAAAACTATAAGACGATTTCATCAAAGAATCTTAAAAATTTGGTTAATAAAAATTGTAGAAAGTGTGGGAATTTTTTAAAGTTTTAAAAACATTTGAGAAATTTAAAAGATATAAAAAAATTTGACACAAAAAATAGTAACAAAAATATGAAGAAATTTTAAAAACGCTAAAATGAACCAAAATCATCATCCTTTTCTAATATTTTTAAATACCTTTTAACATTCTAAAATATGGTTTTCTCATAAATAAGTTTATTATTTAAAACAATTTCTTAAAAATCATAAACAAATTTCGATAAAAAAAACAAAGTAAAGTAAATCTAAAAAGAATTATGTCTGAAAATTTTATTAAAAAATAAAAATATAGAAAATTGTTTAAAAAGTGTTTAAAATTTTTAAATTTATACAGTCTTAAATTTAAAGGTTATAAAAAAATAATATAAAAATGTAAAAAAATGGTAAATTGTAAATACATCTTCAAAAAGTATGTATAAAAAAATGTTAAGAGAAAAAAACAGCATCAAAAATAATACAAAAAATGCAAAAAAAAATTACGACGATTTCACGAAAGAATCTTAAAAATTTGGATAATAAAAATTGTAGAAAGTGCGGGAAAGTTTCGAAATTTTTTGAGAAATTTGACATACCAAACTGTTAAGGTAAATCCCAAAAGACGCTAAAAATAAAGAAAAAAATCAACTCACCGTGCACCGTCATCCCGTCCATGGTCATCGTGACCCCGGGCTGCAAAACAAACGAAGGCGTCTGCAAGGCGTTCACCAGGACGGTCTGCTGGCCCAGAACCTGCTGGGCCACCGCGGGGATCACCTGCGTGACCGACCCCGTCACATTCGTCATCATAGACGAAACCGACATCGGCGGCATCTGCATCTTGGGCGGCGGCGGAGCCATCACGCCGTTGCCGGCGCTGGCCATTATCAGCTGCCCCCCGGAAGACACGAGGATGTGCCCCTGCTGCGGCAACCCTGCGATCGCAAGCATTTTTTAATGCATCAAGGTTTCAACATTCATTATGAGTCAATGCAAATAGAAACACCAAAAATGAATTTAAAAGTGCGCCGCATGATTTTTTATTTTAATGAAAAAATTTTAGAACGATCTTTGAGGTATCATATATGAAAAACCGTTTCCGTTTTAATTTTTAGTTGCTTTATTTTTAATCGGCACCCTTTAGAAACCTGAAATCGTGTCATTTTCTTACTCTCTTATAAGAGGCTAAAACTTTTTTCTGTGGCAATTATTGAAATGATTGTAATTTTATTTTACTGCCTAGTAAGTATGTTTTCAATATTAACTATTATTATCCAATTAGTTCATCTCATAAAAGAATGGTAAACCACTAAAGATTCATGATAATTTGCCAATTTTTGTGATTTTTGTCTGGCTCCTGTGCCCATTCTACTAAATCTAGAAAGTTGCTTTTTTTCAGGTATCAAGTACTTAAACAATAGAAAACGTAACTATTATTTTAAGTTTCTTTATTAAAAAAATATTGAAACTTGATAATTCTAAAAATTAGTCAATTTTGCCCTCAGAAATCATTATGTTGAGGAAAAAATAAAAATCTAAAACTTTCAGGAAATGTAGTCCCCACCTTCATCTTTTCAGTCTTGTTAGTCTTGTTTTGTTATTTTTATCCATGTAAAAGATATAATAATTTTTTTAATGCAGTTAAAAAGCGATATTGTTAGTATTATTAATAATTTAAAATTTAGATGGCTTTCATGTTTGGTGGAGAAGTGTCAGAACTGTCAAAAATATGTCATAAATATTATTTTTGCGTATTTCTTTAGTAAATTTTGAATAGGTACCACAAATAATAATTATGAAATATTTTTGACAGTTCTGATATATTTCTGATATACCTACTTGTTATGTTATATTTTATGTATTGTATAATCATCAATTGGCTAATTGAAGAATGTAAAAAATATATTCAAGATCCTTATGGTTTATATCGTAAAGTATACTTATAATAAGTGAAATTAATAAAGAGTTAATTTAAACGTATAAAAAATGCGTAAAGCAGTTTTTTGTCGGTTTCTTTCACAATTTAAACCAAGTTAGTCTTGTTCTATTATTTTGATCCCTTTAGTAAGGCACTGAATAGTTAAAAGTTATATGTATGTATTTTAAATGTTAGTTTTGGAAAAAAATTTACACAATCTGTAAATACTTCTTTCAATTTTAGTTTTAGGTAACTGGTTAAAATAAAACATGTTATAATAAAGGGGTTTATTTAGAATATTTTTTGGTTTTTGCTTATTTTTAACAATTTAAAACTTCTCAGAACTTGAATATTTTCTATGAGAAAGAGGTACAAAATTATGATATGTTCTTGCATTTTTAATTGCAATTAAATTCATGAATCTCGAACACTCCGTCATTTATTACACTTGCAAACTTGCAAACTTTTTGAAATCACAATTTAAATACGCACAAATATTATTTATGAAATATTTTTGACAGTTCTAACATTTCTTTACCAAACATGAATTGACTAAGTCAAAGCCATCTAAATTTTAAATTATAAATAATACTGCATTAAAAAAAATTATTATATCTTTTACTTGGATAAAAATAACAAAACAAGACTAACTGGACTGAAAAGATGAAGGTGGGGACTACATTTCCTGAAAGTTTTAGATTTTTATTTTTTCCTCAACATAGTGATTTCTGAGGGCAAAATTGACTAATTTTATGAATTATCAAATTTCAATAATTTTTTTAATAAAGAAAATGATAGTCTAGAAACTTAAAATAATAGTTACGTTTTCTATTGTATAAGTACTTGATACCTGAAAAAAATCAACTTTCTAGATTTAGCAGATTAGGCACAAAAATTGGCAAATTATCATGAATCTTTAGTGGTTTACCATTCTTTTATGAAATTAACTAATTGGATTATAATAATTTATATCAAAAACACACTTACTGAACATTAAAATCATTTCAATATTTGTCACAGAAAAAAAGTTCTGGCTCACTATAAGAGAGTAAGAAATTGACACGATTTCAGATTTCTAAAGGGTGCCGATTAAAAGTAAAGAATCCAAAAATTAAAAGGGCAACGGATTTTCATATTTGATATCTAAAAGATCATCCTCAAATTTTTTTATCAAAATAAAAAATCAAGCAGCGCACAATTGGTGTTTTAGTTGGAATGACTCTCCTTTTTTACCTTAAAAGCCTTAAAAAAACCTTAAAATCATCGTTAATTGTAATTACCTGTTGGAGAGTGTTTGATGATCTGCGGCGACATCTGTTGGTGGTTGTTATTGGTAGGAGCCGTCGAACTCATAACGTTCGGGACCTGTATGCTGCTGACGACGCTTTGCACCATCTCCAAAGGAGATTTGGTCACGTTGACCGTCACGGTTTGGGGCATGGAGGAAGGCGTCGAAGCGCCAGAGGAACCTGGCGGCGTGTTGATGGATACAGTGGCGGTACTGGCCCTTCCGGCCAGTACAGACGTTATGGTGTTGCTGCCGAACGTTCTTCCGCTGGCCATGGTGGTCACCAAGCCCGGAGGCCTGCAGATCATCTCTTTTCCGTTGCTTAGGTAGACCGCGCTGCCTTGACCTCTGCTCACGCATTCCTACAAAGTTATGCTGATATTGCAAACATCTTTCCCAACTTGATGATGATGATAAAATTGTATTTCAAAATTAAGCGAGCTAAAGAAGACATCTTAACCAAGTGGAAATGGCTAGAGTAATTACTCTTTCACAAAGATATGTGGCAAGATACTTAATACAGCCTCCTCAACAACCCAGAAGTTGGTATGATTATCAGAAAGCCTTATAGACAACATTTGGCCCTTAAAGAAGAACCAAAACTGCTTCTCAACTGCGATATGTCCATTTTGAAGCAACTGGTAGGCACATATCCACCCAGACTGTACAAAATAGGCTTCAAACTCCACAACATCGCAGAGCCAGAAGAAATTTTACCGACGAATCTAGATTTTGTCTAAATTGCCACGATGGGCGTCAACGAGTATATAAACGTCAGGGAGAACGTTTTGTGAACTCCACGGTTAGAGAAGTTTGGGCTTTTGGAGGTGAATCGATAACGGTTTGGGGTGGTATAAGTTTGAATGGGTGGACATGTGCTACCTTTTACAAATCAAGTAGGTCAAAATGTTGTACTGCAACAAGACAATGCAAGTGGTATGGAGTTAAATCAATTGAACATCTTTGGAGCATTATAAGAGCTTGTTATAATGGCACAAGGAGAATGAGAGAGCATTTCTCTAAAATCTAATTTTTTGCTTATGTTTATTTTTTCATCATGTCAAAAACATTTTTCAGAATTTATACACCCAACCGAATTTTTCAAATGGCTCTATTTTTTCAAGTATCTTTTTATCAAATATCTTTTGCAAAAATTTTCTTTTTGGAACTTTTTTTGAAATTTTTTCTTTTTAAAAGTTCTTTTCAAGAAAATATAGACAAAATTATTTAGACTGATCTTCAAAGTTCTTTGATTTAAGAAAAAAAAATGGTTTATTAGAAACTTTGACATTTTCCACAATTCTCTGAAATTTTCAGTGGCGTTTTTTTGTTTGCTTTTTTCAATTAAGAAAAAATGAACTCAGCTTATTTCCTATAATACCACTTTGGATATTTAAAAAAAATTTCAATGTTAAGTAAGATTATTTCCCTCATTATAATATGAACCAATCAAAAGCCTTGAATTTTCGAATAAATTTCGTTTAAATAAGCGATTAAATTAAATTAAATCACTAGAACTATTTAGAAGCGATTAAATTTTAGCCTCCATATTGGATTTTTGTTTACGATTTTATGGTGTTATTTACAAGTTTTAACAAACATTTTTTAAAAAACAATAAAAAATAAGTTATCTAGTTTACGAAATATTAATTATTACTTATTACATACCTTAAATTAATGGAATTTTCTTTAAAAAAATATTTATAAATTTTGACACATACGTCAGATTTTATGAATTGTCAAATAGTTTCCTTTAATTCGAGAAATAATCTAGACGTATATCACTCAACCTATAAATTTAATCTGTCAAACTATGCTCAGTAAGTTTTTTATTTGATTTTTCTTTTTGGAAAATAGTTTCATGCAAAATAATTAAAAATAAAACCCCTCGACTGCTACGCGGTCTCGTGATTTTATTAAATTATTTTGCATTCAACATTTTCCAACAAAAACCAAACAAAAAACTACTGAGCCTAGTTTAACCGATTAAATTCATAGTTCTCGTGATAGTTTGAACTTAAAACAAAGAAAATGAAAAATAATTTTATATACAATATTAAAAATAATAATAATAATTTTAAATACAATAAATAAAATTATTTAATAAACTATTTTTTAAGTAATTATACAAAATTGTATAAATTGTATAAAAAAAGTGCTGAAAAAAAAACGAATTCCACCAAATTAAGCACTTATATTTTTTTTACTTTTAAATGTAATTAAAAAAATATAAATAATTTTTTTAATTTTTTTCCTACTTTTTTGAAAAATATTAAATTTTTTTCTATGAATACTACTTTTAATTGCATTTATTATTTTTTTTTCGAACCTTGAGGTTCTCTCTACATCCTCAAAAATCATTATGAGAATAAGCTGGGTAATTTTTTTTAAATTAAAAAAAATGTAAATAATCGAGAAATTTCCTTTTTTTCCGTAAATAAAAAAAAAATCCAATCTAATAATTATTAAAAATTACATATAAAAACAAAAATTTTGAAAAATAGAAACGTTCCCATAAGTAAATTTTCAAAAAAGTTTTTTTTAATTCGGTTGGGTAAAAAAATTCTGAAAAATGTTTTTGATAGGGTAGAAGAGTTTTAGCCAAATCAAAAGTGTTAAAATATATAAAGTTATGAATAAAGTTTTGCCTGTTTAATTAAGTGCCTAATTTACATGAGTAAAGTCGTGAATTATATGTAAATGCTACCGCCTAAATTTTATTTAACTCTTAACACAGCTCGCCAAAGTGTCGGTGATTTTTTGGAACATTGCATTTTCATCAAAAGTATCAGACCTCGCCTAAAAATCTCACAATAAACCTTCTACAGTGCAAATAAACTATAAGGCATTGTATCTAGATTACGGGAACGGAAGCAATAGAGTGTGAAGTGATAAGTGACTGCATACCTGGCGGACTATAGAAAGCAACCTTTTCTAATCAAACTAACCGAGACATAAATAAACATAGGAACCTAGGAGCGTCGAAAATGCAATACGAAAACAAAGATGGACAAACCAATCAAAAATATTAGTTTTTACGGAATTTATCTTACCTCTCTTTGGATGTTCTGCGAGTACATGAACGCCTGGGGAATTGGGTGTTGCTGTTGTTGAATCGGAGGGGTCGAAGTGTGCGAATTGGGCGTCGGCGGGTCGGACTGACTACCATCCACGCTGGTACTCACTGTACCGCCCTGTATGGGCCTGGAGTCGGGCGAACTCTGCCCCGCAAGCTTCTCCCCAAACGTCGACGAGGTAACCGGATCTTCAGCTTCGCCGTTCGAACGAAACTTGTGATGGTTGCTGTTCTCGGGCGCGCAACCGTAGCACTGGCTGCTGTCGGCCACATTCTGCTGGTTGTACTGTTGAGTCATCACCATGTGTTTACCGCGGTTGTTCTTCATAACGTTGCTGGGCAGCGGTACTTCACCGCTTTGACTTTGACATACGTAACCGTTCGCCCCGGTTTGCCGGTTGATCGTGTGGTTCAGCAAAGCAGTTTGTTGCGCCAGATAACCGCTGGGATCTTCCAGGAACGACGGGTTCGGTTGCGGCGGCATTTGATTGGGCATCACCCCTCTACCATTCTCACCCGGTATTTGCCGTACATCTATGTTAGGGCAAGGCGTACCCTCCATCACGTACCTACCCTTCATCTTCGACATCTTCACCTTCTTTTTCTTTATTTCCTCCTGCCAAACCGGTTGAGGTTGGTGCAGAGGCGGCACCCGCTCGTACACGTTCGAAGCGTTAGGGCTTTGCTGTTGATGCGGGATACAAACCTGTTGGTTCGGTTGAGGTACGCGGTGTTGCCACTGCATTTTGTGTTGCTGCTGAGGGCTCAGCTGAACCGGATTCGGTACTATCTGGTTACCTTGCATACCTACAAACTGTAGCTGTAGATCTTGTTCTTGGCGTTCTATTTTACTACCTTTACCAATAGAAACATTTCTGCATCTAAAACCCTGAAAAGACTTACCTTGAGGCCTGAACCCGTTGACGATCTGGCCGCCGAACGGCCTCGCATTCTTGCCAGGGTCGTACTGAATTTGCTGGTACTGGTTCTGCTGGCTGTAAAACTGCTGCGGGTGCTGCATCCTCTGAACTTCCGGCCGCTGCTGAACGTTAACGGGAATCATCTGGACGTTGGGCCGTCCCGGGCCGCTGGGCTCGTTGGGCTGCCCGTTCACGTATATCCTCTGCTGCTGAGGGCTCTGTATGACCATGCCGTTGGGCATCTGCTGCAGTATTTGACCGTTGGGCCCGATGATTTGCTGTTGGTGCATGTTGGGGGACATCTGAGGCACCATGGTGCCGTCGCCCATGATCATGGGCGACCCGGCCAATACCCTGTTGCCAGCTTGGTCTTGACACCGTATGAAGTGCTGTTGTGGTTGCATACCCTCCGGAGGATACCCCTGCAAACGATTCTGCACCATCTGGCCGTTACTGTTGACGGTAGCCTGAGGCCACATCTAAAGAAGACAAAAATGCGGTATTTTTTATTACCGAATGCGGCATTTATCGAGTACATATTTACAATTATATTAACATTCCGTGAAATGACGAGTTAAATTAAAAGTGTCGAGAGATGTCCATTAATTTCGCAGGAGTTGTTTGTAAACACGCAAATTATGATGGTAGTAATTATGTCCTGTTTATTTTATATTTATGAGTCTGGTTTACAAATTTTAACGATTTCGTTATTTAAACCTTTGCAAGATATTGTTTCTTGAAATAATACATTTTTGATAAAGAAAAGTAGATTTTTATTAATAACAGCTTTTTACCACGGTGGTCAAAACTTAAGTATAGGACGATCCTATTTTAAAGTTTTGCAAACTTTTTTGTTTTTCTATTTCTATATATTATTTTGCAATTATTGGACTAAAACTACCTGTACAATTTTAATAAAATTAAGCAAAATAATAAACTTTGTATCATTTAAATTACTTTACTCCCCAGTATTAATTTATTGAGTCACCTATTATTTTTTACCACTCAAAACAAAACATAAAAAAAAGAAGATTTATATCTTAAATATTTTTTATAACAAAAAATACTGAAAGTTTGTCTATGAAATAATTACAACTTGCAAATTTTGTAAAACAATAATTAAGGTGGTTATGAAAAAAATTCCTATACGTTATAACGCAAGTGACATTTTGCTTTAGTTGTTTATTTAATGTATACTTTATAAAGTTAAAAATAGTATTTTAAAATGAAAATTAAACCGAAATTCAAGTTAAGCCATGAAGAAAATTGAAAAAAGGTATGTGCTGGCTGTGGAGACAAAATTGTTTTTGGTAATAGGGTTTCTGAAAAAATATAAAAATTACTGCAGACTTTTTCAAACGAACACTTTAACTTAAGTGCGTCAAAATTACCTACTTCAATATGGTAAAAACGGTTGTTTTCCATAGCCCCAATTGCCAAATTTTCAAAATTTAGAAATTGCTAGAGAATTTCGCGGCAGCCAAGAATGTACGTGCTTTATCTGCAAAATGGCAAGATATAAAGGGCATAAAAAATTATTAAGGGAAGAGGACGGACGAACGAACTTAAGTTTTGATATGCTCTTCCTTTCTAGGGGATATCGCTAGATGTAAGAAGCATGTTTGTACAGAGACTGAAGAATTTCAAAATACTGTTTCCATGTTAAAAACAATTCCATGTAAAACCCCAGAATGTTTTACTGAAAATTTAAGGCAAGCAGTAATCGATTTTGCTTCAAAGAATCTTTAGTTATTTATTAGTTTTGTATTAGATACCTTAAAACAATAAATAAGATTTTACATTATTTTGTATTTATAATGTAATTTATCCATATTTCATGTCATGTATCTGCCAAATTTTTAAAAACATTTGATAATGGTACTAGAGTATTTTATCGAAATGGCATAAACAATTTTAAAATACTAAGAAATATGCAAAACTTTAATAAAGGATCAGCTGGGATTTTGATTTTGATTTTGTGAAAATTAAGTTAAAAATGAATTTTTTGACAAGCACTTTAGAGCAATGTTGCCAGATGTAAAATATGAACGCCCTTCAGAAAAATTTGCAACCCTTGATAAAATACATCAAAATAATAAATTTGACTGTGACTATTTGATATTTTCTATTGGATATTTTAATATATCCTAATTTATATAAATGATTATATTATTTTTAAATTTAGTACCGCTCTATCGGACGAGACCTGTAGGTAGGCAACCAAGGGTACAAATCGATAATACTGCAACTTTAAAAGTTAAAAAAACCTGTATGTAAAAAATAGTGTACCTGTTGCTGTTCTTTAACAAATCCATGTTGTTGTTGTTGTTGTTGTTGTTGTGCATTTAATCCCAATTTTTCCCTATGAGCCAAAATCTGCGAAACTGAAACTGCACCGTACGGTAAACCAATTTTCCGCCGTTTCTTCTTGACGCTGTATTCTGCAACAAAAACAATACATTAGTACAAAAAATAAAACATAAATAAAAGTGCAGCTGTTCAATTCCCTCGAAGAGTTAGGTAATTGAATTCGTCAGAAATAAAATGGGACGAGAGCTTTACGTATACGTATAGTATATATACGTATACGTATAGTATATATACGAGAAAACAATGAACAAGCCGACGGGCAATAAAACAAACATAAACCTACGAGCAAATTTAATAAATAAACGTCCATCTCGCGACTGCATAAATTAAGCACAATAGTCGTGAATACGAACCGAGGCAAAACTAATTTGTCCCCGTGCAAATGATTTATATAATACATCACAACTTTCGGGATGGAATTCATCGCAAACCTAGTGAATTCTTACTTTCTAACTAAAGCAGATTACAAACGTACAAAACGACCTTTTTGATTCATTGCCATCGCGAGAAAATTTACACAAAACAAGTGTCGCTATTTCGCGCTCATACCTCATAAGCGGCTTAAGTAACGACGTATAAGCTAGTACCAGTACCGCGAGCTCCTAAATTATCTCCTCTGCTCTTGAAACCAGAAAGAGAGAGGTTCGCTCTGACCCATAAATCATGACATTCCTTCTCGAGGGCGTAAATAATTCTCATGGTGCGGGGAATTTTCAGCAAAACGTTTATTTAGACCAACCGTGGCCATTACGCGAGAACGCTCGTAACACGTTTAGAGCCGTAAGTCATGTCCATGCTTTTGAAAAGAAGGAAAGTTAAAGTTGTTCTCATTGGAAAACATTTCTGATAATGTGGAAGGAAGAGAGTTTTGCAAACATTCCAAATACGTTTGTCCTGTCATATTCTCGTCAAAGATGATCCGATTTTTCAATAACAATGCTACATATAATTGATTGTTTTTCAGTTCTCCAATAAAAGTTAAAGTTTATTTAATCAAATATGTTTGAAGCAATTAAGGGTACCACACATCGGCAACCTGCAATCGCGTACGTGCGTATAGTTAAATGTGATCAACTGAATAATTGTTGTACTTCTTAATCCCGAATTTCCAAGGTAAGTTGTACATGTTTTTTAATTGTATGTCTGCCATGCATTATCCAGTAATTTAATTACTCAATTATATCTAAATGATAAGTTTATCTTGATATTCGGTGTCATGCCTTAAAATGGTTATTTTGCTTGAATGGACGAAGTTTTTATTTATTTATAAAAAAACTTCTCATAGTCTTTCAGTACCATCATGATATTCTTGCAGGGCGTCCTGAAAGTATATATTGCTTTAGGACTTTCAGCAATCAAATCTTTCGCCTCTAAATACATAAGATGAAATTCCTATTTCGTTTTAGAATATCAATGTGCTGTGGCAGACAGATCCTGCACATCAGTACTGTAACTGTTGCTAGTGATGGGTCAGCAACTTTCTTAGAGCCTAATATCACCACCATTGCTAGTGGGTACCTAATAGTTCCTACAGAAAACAAAACATTTTCATTTTATGGATCGAAGAATACCAGAAGCAGTTTCCAGAATTAATTTTCATTTAAAGTTCATGTTAATGTATTATACAAATAATATTTGCACAAGAATATACATCATTCATTTGATCATAGCTGTAATTCAGGTATTGCAAATAAAGTTACACCATTGGCTCAATGGTAAACCCATTCACAATATGAAAGCTTTTTCTCTTACGGATCATCTTCGTTCATCTTCTGCACTAGTCTAATTTTGCATGGATGGTACTTTTCTTTCTTCATAAGACTTAATACTAAGCATTGGCTGACTTGACTTTCAGCTGCGACTAGGCTAGAAGCACTGTGATGATCTTCTTCCACACGTCACAAAATGTCAACCAGGTTTTGGAATATCTTTAACATGTCTAGTCTCTCTGAAGAACGCTTAAGGGACAGATACTTCAATAAATGCTCAACTAAAAGTTTTTACATCTAGT